ATTTAAACCACTCTATTTCACAAAATAATCTGTTGTCAAATTATTTTTAAAAAATATTAGAGGTTTCAGGGTTTCAAGTTTTCAAATGAACACTTTTTTTTTATTTTGTCCAAACTAATAGTCATGGAAATAAAAATGCTATATAGAAAGTTAATTTTCGTGTTGGTTACATGTGTGAGCCACTGTAATACAAATCGTTTGATCCGTAATCGGTTTAATCCGGCCGACCCGCCCGGGTCAACCTCAACCTGAGATTTTTTCATAGCCTGCATCACTATACATGATACTATTATCACCCACGTCTCACTATCTCACGTAATTTGTACCCTGACATGTATCAATGAAAAAATTTGTAAAAATTGAATGATACCCGGCGTATAATATATGATTATTATTATATTTCCGTACCCTACTCCTTACACTGTTAATCATCAGCATCGACAAGACCATTAGAAAATGTTGAGTTTAAGGAGATTAGTGGGATTAGTAAACTTAGACAAAGTCAAATCTACTAGTAGATGGTATGAAAATGTTTTTTGAAAGAATAATTTTTCTACAAAATGTTTTCATCGTAATTTTTTAAAATGGTAATCGAATGTTACCCATTAATTTTTTGTGTTAGTCGGACTCCATGTAATCTATATTAGTATCATTTTTATTATTATACTTTCCGGCTGTTTTTATGTTTATGTCTAGTGCTTTGTCGGATTCGGCTGCTGTCATCCTCATTCTTTTTTACTGTCTGTTTCTTTTGGATAAGTTTTTTTGAATGAATAAAAAAACTTAGCATGTAATCATCATAATTACGAAGGCGATAACTTTAATATGTTTTGGCATTTAGATTATAATCCACGTTGAAATTTGTGTAATTTTAAATTACTTACAGTAACATACATGTACATGTATATTGCTGTACAAGTAGAACCTGGTCGGTTGTTTTTATTTGTGCAACCTATATACGTATGTGCATATTAATATCGAATACATGTACATACTTTAGCAATCTTGATTTTGGTATTTAGATTTTGCCTTTTAAACAACCAAATTTCAAATATTTAACCGAGATAAGAATAATTTTAGCTAAAATCTTTGAATTTAAATTATCCCTTAACTATAATGCAGGCAAATTTGCTGGTAAATTCTCAATTTCATATAAATTCTTTAAATAATTTATTATATAAACTTAAACAAGTTTAAAAAAATTTGTTTATTTTAATATAAAAATATTTTAGTAATTGAAATTAAATTAAAGTTCTTTATTTTATCCCATGTGCGTTATAGCGGTCCATTTACTAAGAGTATAGGGTTAGGGTAATGTGTCCAAAGATCTTTAAGGTTATATTTTCGGTCCCCACTACTATTAAATCTGGGTCCCGCATTATAACGCCATAGCACTATTTTGATAATAATTAAAATGCAAAATTCAAAAATTAGCAGGCAAATTTGCCTGCAAATGTTTAAACTTTAAGGGATGGTAATATGATTTGATAATATTAAAGATGATTTCCAGAGCAATAATCAAATTTCTCGTGCGTAATACTTGTTCATTAAATTACTTAAACTGAGTTTCGATCATTTTTTTCTTCCTAAAGCGAGCCATAACCGAATATATATGCAAATTAAATACTTATTTTCATGGCAAGAACGAAAGTCCAGACACCCAAATTAACACTGTAATTTTACTGGGAATTACATACTGTTGCGGCGGTTCGTAATTAGGCGTAATTGACGATTTTACCTGCAACAAGAGAGTGGTGAGAGTGTAGAGACTAATTCGTGTTCGTCGGTATCTAATTCCTGTGCCGATGTTTACAGATATCGTTGGATTAATGACGAGAGGGTGGCTTCAAAGGGGTTAAAGTCTGGGTTAGGGAGTTTGGGTTTCTTTATTCTTAAGTGGCGGGATATTCCTATCAACAATGTCTATTAACAATATCTATTAAACTTAACTCAAATCGTTTGCTTTTTCTAGCTAAAAGCCTTAAACTATACAATCACAAAATGCTTTTCAATCAATAAATTAATAGTCCATTTACAGTCTTTAACACCTTTTTTGGACTAAAGAACCAAACCATCAATCAATTCAATCAAATTCAGTGTCTTTACAAAACTATGCTAGTTGGTGGAAGAATTGTATGCAATTATTTCCATTTTACGAGTTTACTTTGCTTGGAGAAGAATTGTTCGCAATTAATTCTGTCTTTTATTGGTATTTTTGAGGACCTTTATATATAAATTTTTTTGTTACATATTAAGATAGTGTTCTAGAGAGCTATTTATGCTAATATATTATTGTTTGAAAGCGAAATTGAAAATATAACTAAGGATGGGAAACAAAAGCGAAAAACTGAGAGAGAAAAAACGAATTACTATCATGAAAAAAACAGAAGTGTATCTAAAATAGGAAAGCAGGACATTACACAGAAAAGCTCGGATAGACGAAGCAAATTGTCGAAATCGAGATGAGCAAGCTTCTCCGGAAATTACGAGATCGACGGAATTTGTCACATCTCGGTAACAATACATCAGTGGTATTTTTAATATGACCGAGTCATATGAAAAAGCATGTCTATTGAGATTTCTTGAATTTTGATTGGTTAATATCACTTTTATGTCACATTTTTTTATGATCAAGTCATCGTCATAACCCCTTCTATGACTTATGACTGGTCATAAAGATCATATAGGTCATAAAAGGTCATAAAAGGTCATAAGCCAACACTGTTATACATCTGGGGGTGAGTCAACAGAAACCAAGCAAATTATATATGTATTACATATATAATTTGCTTGGTTTCTGTTGACTCACCCCCATCTATTACAAAGTATGCGTAATCACCATTAAAGTAGGCGATGTAATTAACTGTAACCACCTGTAATTTTTAGCGTGAATTTTACATAATGTTAATTTCTTCTATTACCTTTACGTAATTTCTTCTCCGTTTAGCGTAAGCATGTTTAAAATTCGAGCGCATGTGTGGTACACCAATGAATGTAATCACGTTAACGTTAATGTTAAGTAGTAATTCGGATTTGACGAAAGTGGAAAGAGTTGATGATCATATGATACACAGGACAGGAAATCAGCAACACAAATACGTATTGTGTATTGACGCTAACGCTAATTGTAATAGTAATGTTTTTTCATTTTAGAATACGTAATTTGATAATCATCGAATTTTTATTTGCATTAGTTGAATGTTCTATATTTGATTAGTTATCGTTATTCAAGTCATTATATAATACCGATATGTCGTGAGTATAAACTTTCTAATGGAATAACATCAACAACAGGAAAAATAGTGCAGAATAATACAAGTGTTGTACACAATTAACATTGACCAACTTTAATAGACATGAACCAATATCGTTCGCACAGAGCACATCTAGATATGGGTTAGTGGACACCTTAAATTATCAAACAGATAAAATTATATCGATATAGCGATATTTATTATCGTTAAATTGCTCATGTAATTTTGTATGTAAGTTTATTGTTAGTACATGTACATGTATTTAAATGTGTATTTTTCTGCAACATACCGAAACATAGTAAAATGCGAAATTGCGCAAAAGCATTTAAAGTCTAGACCTTAATTTTTCGATTAAATTACCCTTTAATCAAGACATTCATTTATCTATACACTCAAGACATTCATTTATCTGTACACATTCAAAAATACAAAAATGGGAAACCAACAATCAAGGCAATTAAAACAAAGAGGCTTTAAACAATCTACTAAAGAAACTTCGGGTACAAGTTCTGATGAAAGTCCAACAGAATTGAGTTTTCGTTACGTCGGCGGCCGAACATTTCGTCGAGATATTCCTTATATGTTCCCAGTTGACGAACGTGAAGCGATGCGACTTGAAAAACAACAAATCGTAGCAAAACTTACATGGCAAGGGAATTTCTCTTTGCCAATTGACGATCATTTAAAAGCTGGAGGATTAAAAATATTGGATGTTGGGTCAGCATCTATCAAGTCATTTGTCTTGTAACAATAGTAACTTCTAACTCGTGAATAATCATTTTAGATGTGGTCCAGGAATATGGATAACTGAAATGGCCGAAACATATCCATTATGCACATTCACAGGTGTTGATGTGTCTCCAGTTTATCCCTTAAAAGAGCTACCAGAAAATGTTGAATTTATACAAGCCGATATACTTAACGGACTGCCAATTGAAGACAGCGAATTCGATTTCGTGGTCATGCATTTTTTGAGTGATTGTTTCACAATACGACAATGGAAATCAATAGTCATTCAAGAAGTTGCTCGTGTTATGAAACCTGGAGCATGGCTTGAGTGGATGGAAAGTGGTTCAACTTTAAAAAATGAAGGAGAAAATACAAAAAAATTAAGGCAATCTTGTAAGCATTCAGAATGAACGACTAAGGATTTTATATGTATTAAAAATTAATCTAATCTTTTCCGGTTTCTCAATAGTATATTCAGCAGCAAATTCACGAGGCGTGAGTCCGTGGACGGTAAATGAAATTCCAAAAATGTTAGATAATTCAGGCATATTTGTAAATATACGAGTTGGAAAACGAACAGTTATATTTAGTTCGGCTGGTGGAAAATGTGGTGAATTGGTAACCATTTTAGTAGCATATATATTAATTCATTCGATCTTCAAATATTTTGATTGATTAATTACATTTTACTTGTTCAGTTTACAGATGTCGCTATTAGTACATACCAAGCTTTGAAAAAACAAACTATGGAATTTATGAGTATCACGCCTCACGAATACGACCTGCTACTTTATAAAATACGCGAAGAGTTTGAACAATATCAAACAAGTGCGGAGTATTATCGATTTTGTTCGCAAAAAATTGTGATAGATATCGAAGAAATTGATGGTGAAGAATAGGAAAAATGGTATAAAATATACATACTGTATGAGTTTAATTTAGGTTTTAAAAATCTCATCTGTAAGAAATGTTTAAAATCCCCTAAGTACGTATATGCATAACGAAAATATTTCGCAAATAAGGATATCCCTTTCATATGAATAGCTCTTGATAATTCTTGAATATTTGAAACATTTCTATTGTAAAAAAATCCAATTATTTACACGCGCTAATAATATATACCTATAAGAAAAACCTGTACAGTCCTCAGCGAAGTAATGGCGGACAGTATTTTTTATTATATTTCATTTAATTTTACAATAAAATTTAAAAAAATGTACTTTGGAAGTGCCTCAGAGTATGGCATTATGTCCCTAAAATATCAGTACTTGTGTGCTCTCTTTGTGTGTAAGTTCTAAATAATTTAATGTACTAAAAAAATCTAAAATTCGCAATCATTCGATAAATACTATTCTGATTAAAATGAAAATACTATTAAAATGTTTGTCTTATTGAGGCGAATATACATGTACGTAATAAGAACAAAATCACAAAATCTAATCACTGATTATGATTTTTAAACTGATCAAACTGATGTTATACAACTATGTATTGCGCAACATAAAAGAAAAAAAACAAAGCTTTCTTACTTTTATTTTAAATCAATGTATTCAATATATTACTTCTTATCTTTAATTGGAAATATGAACAAAATCCCTCTTGCTTTTGATTTACCAAATCTAACAACGTAAAGCTCGCACGACTAGCCTTCAGACTGCAGGTAACAAGAGAAAAAATTCCGCTGTGATTCTTGAATGCATGGCTGATGAAACCAAATTACCTCCGGTTTGTATTTTAAACTAATAAAGATACTGTTGGGTTCTCTTTAATTTTTAGTAAAAGGATTTGTTTTGCGGCGAATGAGTTGGGGGCACCAGATTGTTATGTTATTATAACAATCGATCGATCAAGACTGAATTATTTACGGTCGAAGGGTTTCTTCGGATATCCTAATGATTTCTATGGCGACTTGTACACAAATCGACCTTTTCTCAACAATGGAGAGGAAAAGAGGTGGTGATTGGAAGAATAGATAAAATGAGATTGCTCTTGTAACAAGAATTCAGTTCACTGCAATAAAATATTTATTTTAATAATAATCTATACAAGTATGTCAGGACTTATTGATACGGCCTGTCTAAGAAAAACTTAATGCTGAAAGGCAATTTGACAGGGCTTATTGATGCGGCCTGTACGAAGAAAACAAAATCAATTCTAATAAAAACAATGGCTTATTTTAAGTGGAGGAGCATCCACTGAAGTTAAATCGAAATAATAGTGTATTCACGAGTAATATTATTATTGCAGGCAAGAATTTTATTATTTTATTGGATTAAAGCATATCTTCTCAGCGACTCGAAGACGTTTCTATATACAATTCTGAATTACTACGCTAATCCTACGCTAAGGTTAGTGATTTGCATTAATAGTTTCTTTTGAAACAATAGAGTAATAATTGCTTTTTGTTTTCCAATTGTCCAGACAATTGTCGACTTGTTAATCATTATTGTTACTTATGTTAATAATCGTTCGATGTCGATGTCCACGATCTGTTAATTATTGTTCTTCCGGCAATCACTATCGTAACATGCGTTAATTTTTGAAGAACGATAGGATATTCAAAATACAAGAAGAAAAAGGTAATGTCCATTCACAATAAAATATTTCTAAATTTGGTTTTCAATGTAAGTCGTACCAGAGACTAATTATGGAGTATCGTGTAGATTATTATGGGATGATATTCATGTGGAAATTAAGGGTCAAAATTACGGGATTAAAGGATTTAACGATACTTTGGTAACAATACCATGAGAAAGCTTTCCTAATAATATATTTATTCATGTAAATGAAAAAGGTTGGGTTAAATAAAGAAGGAATGCTTGGTGGAGTGGAAATATTTAGACTAAAAAACTGCCTTTAATTAACCCATATTCTCTTTTAGTTTTTGATTCATTTCACACATTTACTTAATTCAGTTAAGCATCAACTTATTAAAGTAATATAAATTTTGCTATATTTCCTGGAGGGCTAACATCTACAAAAGCTTTAAGATGATATAAATATATTTTTATTATTATATTTTGATTTTTTTATCATATTTAACAAATTAATTTTAAAATGTCTGTGCACTATATAATCAATGGATGTTGGAAGAAATTCATGAGCTCACATCTTCAAACTATTAAAAAGCCTTTATATTCATTACTTGTTGAATGGGTAAAAATTGCGCGAGTCTCTCGATTCAAATTTAATTAACATTCATTTAAATCCTGTGAGATATCTGATGAGATTGTTACATATTTTTAATATACATGTAGCTTCTTTTCTCGACATTATTAGTTTAAGTGATACAAGTCTATATGCACTATCAAAATATCTGTGCATAAACCGGAAAATATTATACAAAGGGAGGGGTACTATACAAGTGCGCTTTACGGTGGTTTTTTGTTGGCGCTCTTTATGTTGCCTGCAAGTAGCAGAAGTGAACCATTCGAATAAACTATACATATATCGATATCATCAACCTCTTCATATTCGGCAATGGTTGGATTTTGCATTATAGAGACAATGTTACATGTATTAGCAAAAAAAATAAAACAATAAGAAAATTTATTTGGAGTTCAGCATTGTTTCAAGTGAAAAGTAAAGAAAATAAAAAATATTGAATATTGAATATAGTAAAAAAGGAACTAATTTTTCTCAGAAAAATTGGTTAATGCGACCACATTTTCTTTTCTTACAATCATTTATATACTTGGAATCCCCTTAACATTTTACTAACGCTAATAGATATTATATCGATAAGTTATCATCAGAGCAATTAAATCATAAACTTTTTTTTGATTATCAATACGTACTTAGTAGATTTTTACCTAAAACTTTGATTTCAATTTTTAAAAGAGAATAATAGTATTTTAAGAAACAAAAGTGATTGATTTTTTTCACCTTTGCGAAAGCATTTCTTTGTATTTCACTTTAACCAAAAATTATTAAACAAATGAATAAGCACCGCTATGTTTAAATTACAAAAATATATCTAAATCGCCTTAAATGATTAATTGCCCAGAAATAAGCACCGCTCTGCTTTTTAAAGCCCAAAAAGTGGCGTAGGATTTTAAAATCAATGTATCATTTTGTAAAACGATTCATATAAAATTAAGCTAGAGTTTATCTTGATGATTGTTGTATATAAGTAATGCATGTTTATAAAAAGGCTATGCTCTTGATGGCGTTTCTTATATCATATAAATAGAATAGTTATTACTTTCCGTTAAATATGTAACTGTAAATAAAAAGTTATTTATTTTATAGGTTTTAAAATAAAAGTAAGTAATTTATATGTACGTATAGTCAATATCTAATGTGTGATAAACAAATCGAAGTCTCAAACGTATATAATAACTTGCATAAGATAATTTAGATATATTCCTATAAATAATGAGGAGTAAAGTGATTAATAATTCTGAAATTAAGTACACATTGCTCTAGTTAAACTGGGCATTAATTAAACTAAATTGGATATCTGGATCAAAAAATAGATTTCAATCTTAATCTTTCGTTAAACCAGACAATAAGTTTTACATGATAAATAAACCATTAAAAGCCAAAAAAAAATATAAAAACACATTCTTTTGATAGAAAAATCAAATTTATTCATAAAAAATTATATTAAAATTATTATACAATTATATTTTTCTTCTTAAAGTTTTATTACTACATTTTTTAAAGTTAAAACAATTAAAAACTATCAATAAGGCATTCTATAAAGTAACCATAAATAAATCTATTCTCTATATATCATAGTGTATTTCTTTAAATTTCATTAAAATACAAATAAAAACGTAAATTCTGAAAACTTTTGTCGCTCTCTGTAGTCTAGTAATTTACCAAATTAGAGATGTTAGCATTTTTATTTATTTACAGCAAAATAGATAATCTTTCAAGATTTTGCACTTTAATTGATTTGTAGAAAATACTATATAACATCATTGAGAAACTTGCCTTTCTGAAATTTCGTTACTCCTTCACTTGATCACAAAGCTTTTGTGAACATAATAAAACTGAAATGAGCAGCAATAATTATGAATTGTACATAAATTGCAAGCAATAAATAACAGCGTTATTACTCTCAAATCTCATCCAGTCTATAAAATACTTGAAGTTCATTTGACGAATGAACATTTTTAATTTTTTCTAACAAAGAATAGGATACTGCACTAACTGTTTTATTATAACATTAAAAAGTTTGTGAGGTATTAACTTCTACATTAGTATGGAAACCGCATTTAATTTATTCTTAACTCATGCAGCTTTAATGATATTTGACGATGACGAAACCTTTCGCCATGGCCACTTTGGAATGTAAGTGGCGAATGACGAATTGGCAAACCGTAAAAATAATAGATTAAATCAAGCTTTATCAATTTCTCTGTCTGTATAAGTTTTACCAAAGTTATATATAGTTTTCTTCATAATGCTGGCCAAATTCAGCATGATTTTGATTGTCCATGGCCTTCGGCCAATCAAATACTAGATTTCTAATGACGTAAATTCGATGCGCAGCACCATACGACGAAATGCATAAAGGTTGGATTCGAACAAATACAACGAATAACATGAAGTCATTGGTTGCAGACATCCATTATCGTTCTATATAAAATTTAATATGTAAGGAGACATTTTTTCAATAGTAGTAAATAATTATTCGAAAAATCTATCTTCGATAATTATTCGAAGAACTCAAATTTATTCGAATAGTAGGATAGGATGTTAAATCATTTTGTACATGTGATTTAAGCTTTTATTTTGATTGGTCAGAAGGTTTCGTCAATCGTCATAGCGATAGCGATAGGTTTCGTCAATGGGTTTCGTACGTGACGAAATCTTTCTTTGGAGGACCCTTAGGACCTGAAGAACCACACCGATCATCAAAATAAAGCGTTGAACAAAATGGTGTTCCTGCAGACTCATTTCCTATACGAACACCACCAACAGTTCCAACGCCGCTATTATAATATGTAATCGGAATTGAAAAAGAAAAGGAATCTAATAGTATCACTGATATAGCAATGAAAAGTGAAATCAGAGTGAATTTTTTGGTTTCCATTTTTTTGATTGAAATTTTGAAAGAAAGTTCTCATTGTTTATGATATATGTTTAAGATGCTTTCGACAACAAAATATTTATTTTAAAAGTACATGCAATTTTTACTTTTAATTAAAATACAGGTTTTTCATTATAAACAGGCTTTAAGTACATGTATACATGTACATGTATTTAATGCTGATCTACGAAATTGATCATTTGGAAATACAATAACCCCCAGGAGTGGAATTAGTGTTCAGACTTTGATCAATTGAGAGCAATCTAATTGCTTATCGATCTTTTAATTATTATTTTGTGAAATTTATTTATCATTTTGTGAAATTTTAATTATCATTTTGTGAAATTTAATTCAATCGATCATCAGGTCTAGAATGATCTAGTTCGATACACGATACGATCTTTTGACAACAATTTTCAATTTACACAGGTTTTCATTGTAAATGAGCTTTAAGTAGCTCTATGAAATTGATCATTTGGAAATACAATAACCCAGGAGTGGAATTAGTGTTCAGACTTTGATCAATCTAATTGCTTATCGACCTTTTAATTATCATTTTGTGAAATTTATTTATCATTTTGTGAAATTTTAATTATCATTTTGTGAAATTTAATTCAATTGATAATCAGGTCTAGAATAATCTAGTTCGATACACGATACGATCTTTTGGCAACAATTTTCAATTTAGCACAGGTTTTCATTGTAAATGGGCTTTAAGTAGCTCTATGAAATTGATCATTTGGAAATACAATAACCAGAATAAGATTAGAATGTTCGGACTTTGATCAATGAAAACATCTAGTAGAAATATTATCCTTTGACTGTTCTTTTAATCCGACTGACAAGTTTCTTATTTTAGAAAATTTATAGACAAGCCATATGTTGATTAGAAACATTCATATAATCTATTCTTAGAAAAGAAGTCCTATACAACTTTTATTGATAAATTTTCTATTCATTTAACTAGTATTATGGTATTAGGCTGAAACAAAAGAAAAAAATGTAACTATGGAACAAGAAATAGTTGAATGGATACTTAAAACACAAATTGCAAACGATCTTACATTTATTATGAATATTACTATACAGTAATTTGCTTTTGAATTAGTTATAAATGGAATATCTTTGTTTCATGATTAAATTTATGAATGAATGATAGTATTATAGAATTCTACGCAATTATAATACATATATTATCTATACGTAGTTTGAATAAAGTCATCAGTAGGAAAAAGCACAATATTAATCTATGAATAAATATTTATCTAATCATTCCAAAAAAATATATATTGATATGCATTTTGTACTTTTTATATAGGTTCAATAACGTTTTCCAGATATCTGACAGGTTGGGTTTACTTAAAAAAGTTATTACTTAAAGCAGAATATAATGTTAACCTCTTTTTCAAATATCGCTTGCAAATAATTAAGTTAGCAATAATGATAACAAAAATCTAAATTAGAGTTTGGATAGAAAAATATTTATGCTGAATAGCAGCATGTCTATGAATTTCTATTTAAGGTTTTCAATCACCCATTGGTAAAAAGGGGCGGTTCAGTAATGGTTTCTGTTGTAGAAAACCTCTAGGTGATCTGCAGGATTCCAGGTCCGTACCGTTAGAGGACATTTTATTACCACTAGGAAAATCTAAGTGGAAAAGCGGCGGAACGACCAAAACTTTAAATGTTTCCAAAGTGTTTTCTTCTAGTGGTATTAATTTCCGTAATAAAACTTGTTTAATACAATTAGTGTTGATTACTTATAATCATCGCGCCCAAGACATATTATAAGCAAAATTTCGAGCTGAGAAGTTACCCAATCTTGGTTTACTTAATAAAATCTCGAGCTATTGGCAATATTTGCTTTTTGGGTTTTTTCGCCACAAAAAATTCGATATGATTGGCTACTCGACATTGTTTTGAAATTTCTGACTGGTCACTATTAGAAAACCATTAAAGTTTGGTCATTCCACCTAGAGGTTTCCACCAATATGGAACCTCTAGCGGAATTTCAGATTTCCCCTAGTAGTTTTCTAATAGTTTCCTAGTAATTCAGGAAACCAGGGTTCCTGTAGAGGTTTCTGTACACACAAACCATAATGTACTGACCGTTTTCTACCTGTGACCCGAAGGGATTAAGTTTAGTAACGGGTAATCATACTTGGATTCAATACCGATACATGTACATGTATAATGTTCTAGCACAACTTAATTTCAACAACAGCGATACGTATTTACACAAATTTTTCTATTTTACCGTTATGGTTAACTGGAATTTTGCATACATAATTAACTCATTCAAAGACTCCGAAAGAAAACTTTTTGTTGAGGCTCTGCACACTTAGCATCAATACGAAAATCTAAATTCAATTGTGAGCAATAAATTTCTGAGATTATTATAATCGCTTCTTTCAATAGAAGATATGACATTTAAAGAAAGAAATAAACCATTCGTCATTCCTTCACTTGCTCACAAACTTTTGGATGTAAAACAATTTTAGACTGAAATGAACATTACTATTATAAATTGCATATACATTGCAAGCAATAAGAATCGGTGTCATAACTCTCAAATCTCATCTAATCTATAAATACACAAAGTTTATTTGACGAACGAGCATTTATTTTTCTTTATCAATTTTCTAAAAAAGGCAATTTAACCTTAAAATTGATCCGAGTAATTAAATATAGTAGTGAGGTATTAATTACTATATGTCGCATGGAACCACATATAAATTTATTCTTACACAGGTAAAAAAGGGTTGGTACACTGGTAGTTTTTTTATGAATCTCTAGTATCTTTCTGATAATTCCTTGAATTTAGGGGGAAACAATATAAACCATTAAATAATTTATAATTCCTCTAGAGGTTCTTAAAAAAACACTATTGTACCAGCTCTTTTCTACCAGTGTTAAATCATACAGCTCTCTACCAAAAGAATTCGCTTTGATTTTTTAAAATTTTCTCAATAATATAGTATTTACTATATTTATTTTCAAGCTTTCAGTAAATTCAATGTTGATATCAAAATTACAAAATTTGAATTACATAAAAATACTTTATAAAAGTGCAAGTGACTGTTTTGGAATCTGAAAATTCTAAATTTAAATAATAATTCAATCACAATTAATTAATTATATTATATATATATAGTCAAATCTCTATATATTTATCATCCTTGGGAAAGCAAAATTTGGTAACTATAGAGAGGATGTGACTATAGGGATTTTTTACTATGTTAATATGTAAACAGAAAAGCAAAATAGGGTGACTATAGAGAAATGTAACTATAAATTGGTGTGATTATAGAGAAATTTGACTGTATCATTATTTTATACAGTCACACATTCCATTTTTATTTTTGATTGAATTTTATATTTATGTTGAGTTTTATTAAAATATAAAAATAGAACTACAAAAGCATCATTATCTTGAAATATTTTATAAAATAAATCAGTTTTCTTATTAGTTATAACTCAAAGCACTTAAATATGAGTTAAAAACTACTTGTAAAAGTAAAATAATTATATTTTATTTTAAAATTGCAAATAAAAAATTTTGAGAAGAAAAATTATCTTTAATTTTTAATATTGAAAATATTAAATATTAATTAAATATTATATTAATAAATAATATTAAATAATAATTATTTTTGAAAAAGAAATATTAAAGAAATATATAATTCTAAATTTATAATTAATACAATTTAGTATTTTTATAAACTAAACTAAACTAAACTGGAATTTTATTTAAATTCAAAACTGATTTGAAATTTGAATTAAACTCAAATTAAATTATAGCTTAAATACAAGAAAAATTTAAAGTTTAAATTAAATTCAAATTAAATTATTATATAAGCTTGAATTTGAGTTTGATTTATATTTAATTTAAAATTAATATGTAATATTATATACTAATTTGTAGCTTTAAGTTAGAACTATAATTTTCTTTATAAATATAATTTATAATATTTATTAAGAATTAAATATTAATATTAACTATTAAATATTAATTTATTTAATAAATATAAATTATTTACTTTTTTAATGTAATATTTCAATAGCAAAATATTTGTATCTTATTAATTTTTTTTGTGTTTTATTTTTTAAGTGAACTATTATATATATTAAACTTAAATCTGATTAAAATTAGAAATTCAATCAAATAAAAATAATTCTAGAATTAATTTGATGTAATTGAGTCAAAAATAGAGATTTTTAAAAATTATTATAAAATATAATAAATCAAAAATAGTTTTATAATTTAAAATTTATTATTAATCAAAAATAAAATAAGAATAATGATTCAAATAAATTAAGAACAAAAATTTTGCATATCAAATTATAACTTATAATTTTTGTTTTAATATTAAATATAAATATCAATAAAATTGAATACTTTATATAAGAAAAAATTTTAATTTTTATTAATAAAATTATACTTATAATTTTATAATTCTATTAATTAATATATATAATAAATTAATTAATTTTGCTTTATTTTAATTATATATTATCTCTATACTATTATTATAATAGTAATATAAAAATCACAAATTCAAAAATAATCAAAAAATATAAAAATTCTAAAAATAATTATATAATAATAATATTCTTTTATATATAATATTTTACTT